ATGTTTGCCGACACACCTGAGACGTCAGTAATGCCCGCGACCGGTAGAGGACTGGCCCCTAGCGACATCGACTTGATACGCTCCGCACTCGATACCGCCAAGAGCAGCAACTCGACTGTGCATGTCGCAAGTACCGTCGGGCCCATGAAGATAACGTATACTCCAAACAACTCCACGACTAGCGAATCCATACTCTGGACCTATGCCAAACGAGTCTTCTTCGGGGTCCCATTCCCCTTTTCCCAGCTTGCACAAGCCGACAGAATAACTACTCACGTATCTGTCGTTGACAAGAACGGCACCGTTTCCAATACTACCTCAGATCACCTCGGTATTCGGAGTCCGTCGCTTCTCTCCGATGTCCCCTTCTTCAACTGGTTCCAGTCTCAAAGCGCCAATCGCTTTATTGTTGACGTGATAGAGGGGCAGATCATCACTCTACTCGTTGTCGTGGCGTTTATCCTTGTCTTCCTGATTCGGGAGTGGGTGGTGCAGCAACAACCTGTCATCAACATGGTCGCTCTTGGTGACAACGTTGCTGCGCAGAGGGCTGCCATCATTGAAGAGGAGGCTCTCGTTGACAACGTGGTCGTTGATGAGGGCGAGCTGGAAGACGCTCTAGATGCTTTGGACGCCGAAGTGGCTGGGGAGGCCGCGGATGTGGAAGAAGCTCATGAACCTGAAAATGCTGACCAAAACGACCCAATTGCTCCTGAAGACTTCACTCGCGAGAATGATGAGCCCGAGGCTGCCGAACCTACGATACGCCGCGTTCGTCGGTCTTCCTCGCTCCGCCGAGAACGCGACGAGCTTGTTCGCAACATAGTACGGGAAGGCCTCTCGGGTGATTTGAGGTCAATGATGCAATCGGATGAGCTTGTGGATGCCTATGACGATGGATTTCCATCTCAGAGCTTTAACGAGGCTATTGAGCGAGCAATGGTGGAAGACGGCGAGGCTAGCAGCTCAAGCTTTCCTGCAAGAACCTCATCACTCCACCAACCTTCAAGCGTAGCGCCAGATCTTGAAGGTTCCGAGTCGTCTTCATCTTCGCACAGACCAAACATGCCAGCACGCGATAGATCCTTCATCGCGACAGAGATTCGTCGCGGCCTAGAAGAGGGTAATACATGGTCTTTCGAGAACGTACCACAATCGTCAGCTTCGAACGAGGAAAGTGCTGAAAACGTGCCCGAATCGTGGGAAGATGACGACAACGCAGACCGAAGAGCCGATCAAGGACCCGAGGCTGCATCGGACCACGAACCGGGTAGCGAGCACAGCAGTGGAAGCTGGCAGCAAGTCCCTGAGGCTGTGGAAGATGACTCCGACCAAGCGCTGGAAGGAGAACATGTTCACGACAAGGGTAAAGCCAAGGCTGTCGACGCCAGTGTGGAGGACAATCTACCCGAGTCGACGTCTTCTGCACAAAGCAGCTCTACTCATCTAGACAACTCAATTACGGTCGATACTACGATTGAAGTTGACAACAGCAGTAGCCAACCTGACCAAGACTCGACCACTCACGAAGAACAAGAGCATTCTGAAGTGGGTCAGCAAAACCCGGACGATCAGCCTGCGGTTCCAGTCAACGCACAACCAGCAGCGCCTCAACCTCCACAAAATCCAGTGAACCAAGTATTGGACTGGATGTTTGGAGACATAGCCCCGATGGCTCAGCCTGTCGAAGAGGGAGGCAACGATGAGCATATCGTGCGCGATCTGGCAGACGAAGCGCCTTTTGTGCCCTTCTTAGGGAACGAGCCGCGAGATCATGGCAATGCTGCGGCCCAAGATCCTGAAGTTGCTGCTGCTGCTGCACAAGCTGGCATAGATGTCAACGACCAGGAAGCGATTGAAGACGCTGAAGACCTCGAAGGTATACTTGAGCTCATTGGTATGCAAGGGCCCATTGTCGGTCTTTTCCAGAACGCCCTGTTCAGTGCCGTGCTGATTACCTGCACACTGGCGTGCGCTGTGTGGGTTCCTTATCTCTGGGGTAAATTCGTCATCATAATGGTGGGAAGTCCTATTGAACTCCTCAAAATCCCTCTACAGGCGGTCGCTGCAGTGACGGACTTCATAGTCGACGTCACGCTCTTCCTCGTAGCTGGTACGACATACTGGAGTTCTTATGCCATCTCCAGTCTGGTCAAGCTGTGTTCCTTGGGGAAACTGTCTCAAACCATAGATGGTCCACTCCGTGCAGTATCTACGCCAGCATACTCCCTTGCAGAGAGTGCGATGGTTCGTATTGGCAAGATGTTCATGGATTCGCCATTATCTTCTCAGCCCAGCTACACCCAATTCACGCTCAACGCACACGCTTCACTACGAAGCCTGCAGAACACGACCTCATTTGCGCTCAATGAAACGAGCAGTTTTGCAAATGCCATCATCGAGGAAATCTCAGCAGACTCGCTGCCCAAGCTTGTGCTGAGGGTCCTTGGGAGCCTTCCCTCGTTAATTCAAGATATCTTTACGACTACCTACGGCCAGTGCAGTTCTCTGCTTTCATGGCTTTGGACGGCCAAGTCGTACAAGATCACCATTGATCTAGACTCGAATAGCAGCACCGCTGTAGCATATACTGCATTGGAGCGATGGACGGCGAGTGACCGCCTGATTGCAATACTTGCTGGCTATGGGTTCTTCGCCTTTCTTGGTGCGATATATCTCAGGCGTGGCACACCTTTCAGCTCGTCACAGCAAGGACAAAGGATCGAACGCATTCTTTCTGATATACTACAACAAGCCGGAGGTGTCCTCAAGGTGATTCTTATCATTAGTATCGAGATGTTGGCATTTCCGCTGTACTGCGGGCTGCTTCTCGACTTGGCCATGCTCCCACTATTCCAGAACGCTACGCTGTACAACCGATGGCAATTCGCGAGAGAGAGTCCTTGGACATCTGGATTCGTGCATTGGTTTATCGGTACCTGCTACATGTTCCACTTCGCGCTCTTTGTGTCCATGTGCCGCAAAATCATGCGCAAGGGTGTGCTTTACTTCATCCGCGACCCAGATGATCCGACCTTCCATCCTGTTCGGGACGTCCTAGAGCGTAGCGTTACGACTCAACTTCGCAAGATCGCCTTCAGCGCTCTTGTGTATGGAGCACTCGTTATTGTATGCCTCGGCGGTGTCGTATGGACCTTGAGTCGTGCTACTACCAACGTGCTGCCAATCCACTGGACTACCGAAGCACCATCGCTGGAATTTCCGCTCGACCTTCTCTTTTACAACTTCCTCACGCCGGTCATCATCAAATTCTACAAGCCTAGCGAGGGTCTGCATACCATCTACAAATGGTGCTTCCAGAAATGCGCTGGGTTCCTTCGCCTGTCCAACTTCCTCTTCGGCGATAAGGTACCTGCGCAAGAAGGCGATGATGGTCGATACGTTCGTGCACCCGCTTCCGATCAAGCTCGCATCCCCAAGGGCCAACCTGTCTTCGTCGAAGTCGACCGCGACAACGTGCGCAAGGATGGAGAGAATGAGGGTGGAGTGCACAACTCTGATCTCGTGTCAATGGTATTCATCCCACCATGGTTCCGCGTGCGCATTCTCTGCTTCATCGTCACGATATGGATCTTCATGGGTCTATCAGGAGTAAGCGTAACGATCCTACCCCTCCTCTTCGGCCGCTACCTCTTCTCGCTCTTCCTCCCACCGACCGTTGAGATGAACGACATCCACGCGTTCTCCCTTGGCGTCTACACGCTCGCCAGCATCGGCTACTCCGCCTACCACGCCTTCAAATTCATCTCCTCACTCAACCGATCCATCCCAGATCCCATGTCGACACTCCACACCATCGCAGCAACCACCTCCCGCGTCGGCGGGCGAGCCCTCCGCTTCTCGTATGTCTGGGCAACCCTCATCTTCGCCATCCCCTTTCTCTTCGCCGTCCTCCTAGAGCTCTATTTCCTCATGCCCCTGCACGCCTATCTCGGCCCCAAGGAACCCCACGTCGTCCACGTCATCCAAGACTGGACCCTCGGCTTCTTGTACTCTCGTCTCGCCGCACGCCTCGTCTTCGCGAACCGCAACTCCCGGCCTGCACGTGCGTTCAAAGCTGTTATCAGAGATGGCTGGCTCTACCCCAACGCCAAGATCGCTACACGCTGTTTCCTCATCCCCGTGCTGGCGCTCTTCCTCGTCGCTATTGCCGTTCCATCCAGTCTGGCGTTTGTCACGAGTCGAACGCTATATCGTAATGCGAACGAAGCGACAAAGAACTTACTCTGGCGCTTCAGCTTCCCGGCTGTGGGACTTGCTTTGGTGGTTATGTGGGCTTCGTCGGCGGTTGTCAGGCTGCTCGTGAGATGGAGGTTGGTCGTTAGGGATGAGGTTTATCTTATAGGAGAGAGGCTGCACAACTTTGGGGAGAGGAAAGCGCCCGTTCAGCCTGCGTCTACTGCTACTCCTGCGGCGGGCGTTGAGGGTGTCGATGTGGGTACGCAAACTGCTTAGTTTTGCGGGGTCGTCGGTCGGTGTGTTGTTGTTTTGCGTGTAAGAGTGGAATTGCTGCATATCCTTTTCATCATGCGTTTGCTTTCGCTGAAAGGTTTGGAAGGCCTGTCAGTCGTTTTGTCAGCGGGCTAGCTAGATAGCCAGTTAGCATGAATCTCACGCTGCTCATCCTTATTACTTTCATCTACACTACTGACCTGTGAACTTGGTCTTCTGTTGATTGGTCTATCGACTAACGTCGTGGTCAACTACGCATGACGTGAGAGCCACTCCGCCGTTGTACAAATTCCCTTCTAGCACGGATGAAGATACGAAGCCCTCGGCTGCCACCCTCCTTCAGCCACAAGAACCTCTCCAAGAACTCTGCTAACCCGAAGAAGATGCCCGTCGCGCCCTCTTCCCGCAACAACAGAAACACCAACAGGCATGCCATTCATGCCCACCAAAGCGGGAATGTGTACCACTGGCACATGCAGACCCTGGATAAAAGTCAAACTCGTTTTTATCTACCACCTGTGACAAAGTCAACTTGGCGTCCACAGCGTATTGAAAACCGGACTCCCCATATCACCAAGGCCCACCGGCGCCTCATCTACAGCACTTGGCGCGATGATGACAGAATACTTGGCCGCTATCGCGTCGAAGAGCGTACGCAGATGCGTGTACTTTTCCAGAGCTTCTCTTCTTTTCTTTTCCGCATCAGCGTGTTTAGAGTGGTTTTCTACTAGATTCCGAATCGAGACGTCCAAACCATCCTTGTGTAGACGGTATTCTTCATGGAAAGCAAGTGCGGTCTCAGTGCCGATGATTGCGTTTTGAGAGCGCGTTAGAATGTCTGCATCGCCAAAGCCATCCGGTAGAGACATCTCTTCGGCTTGAACGCCGTGGTTTTGCAGTATCGCGGCTGTTTTATGCATGGCATGTATAGTACCAGGGCCGGCGTGTGACCACATGGGTGTCTTGACAAGAGCGACTGAGATATCATCCAAGCATACCTTCCTTGGGTGCTCGTCGTCAGCGAGGGAGAAGACATCTGCTAGTAACTGCAGATCTTCGATGCTACGAGCAAAGAAGCCGATGGTATCGAATGTAGAGGAAACGATCTTTTGCCCCGAGGTTGAGATGGCGTTGTGCATGGGTTTCATGGCGAAGATACCGCAATAGGCTGCTGGTCGGATGACGCTTCCGCCTGTCTGTATGCCCAAGGCAAGTGGAATCTGCATATCGGCTACGGCGGCGGCGGAGCCGCATGAAGAGCCGCCTGGGGTTCGAGATGGGTCGTGGGGATTGGTGGTCGGAGGTCCTGAGTTGGTGATCGTGAAGTCAGTTGTGGTTGTCTTGCCTGGGGGAGACGTCAGACACCATCTAGAAGAAGAATGTATTGACAGACCGAAGATTAAGGCTCCTGTAGCTCGCAGAATGGAAACAGCCGATGAGTCGAAGCCAGATTGTTGTCCCTTGTATGTTGGAGAGCCATATTGCGTGGGCATGTCTGGGGCTTGTCAACATCTGGCATGCAAAGGACTGTACCTTACGACCTTTCGTGTTCATCACATCTTTTATGCCTATTGCCATCCCATGCAACGGTCCTCTCTGGTTTTCTGGTATTTGATCAAGTTCTCGAGCTCGGCTTAGAACAAGCTCTTGATCTGCCGTTTGCTCAGATCGAATCATGTTTATAGGCAGAGCAAGACTCACCGAGATGGGCCCATGCCTTTACAATATCGTCCCGGTCGCGGATGCGGTCGATGAGAGATTGCGCATAGGCCTGGACTGTGATGGTATTGGCTTTGAGCAGTTCCAGTACTTGCACTGCCGTCAGAGTATGCAATGCAGGTGATATTGACATAGTCGATGAATTTTTCTGGGAAGGAACGGCCTAGGTAGAGCACGGAAAGATAGACGAATATATACGATAGCGTGCATAGCTGATCTGTATGCAAGGAGATGCCGAACTCGCTACTGATGCAGATTGATGTGTTCACTCAAGGAGCATATGATTCCAGTGCAGATTTGAGAATTCTGTATTGTTTTCTTCCCATAGCGCCGTATCTGATGCAAATTGTACAGTAATACATGGTATACACACGTGCGACCGTCGTTCCCGGTGGGGACCGTCTAGAAACCCGGAGGGTTGAGTCGTTGACTGACTCTTGTCCATTTTGGCACCTCTGTGAAATGTCAGCGATGGCAAGCATGATGTTTCTCCCTAATACCAGAGTTTACGAGTCTTTTCCTGTCGCTACAGCGCCGTGTCCAAATGCACAAGAAGCATGCAACTTACTGTGTATTCCCTTTCGATACCTCTTCACCTTACGGTCGAAGACGGTGTATTTGTCCTTGGGCAGCATCTCCGCCTCGGTCGGCATCTCCATCTTCCAGCGCTCCACCTTCTTCATGCTTTGTCCCATGCGTCGTAGTGCGGTATCGAGTGTGCCGACCACAGTGTCGACGTGCCGTAGGCGCTCGCGCTGCCTGTACTTCTGATGTCTGGATAGCCGCCATGGTATCTTCCTATAGCTTTGTCAGCACGGGCTGCCAGATATCGAGTCGCAACTGATAGAAGGTGCATCGGAGCGGGAAATGTGATGGCGACGACGAGCAATTGCGCGCGGGTGACAGTTCGGGAAACGCAGGGAGTCGCACCATAATAGACCGCCCGATAGCGGGTTTGTGAGGCGGAAAGGACCAAACATGGTGAGGTGCTGGGGTTGGCGATGCTGGGTTGCGCAATCGAAGTCGCGATATTCTTCGAAAGGCACTCCCGCGGACTTTCTTGGCGGGCATGCCGATTAGCGTGGGGAAGCTCACCAGCACACCCCACACGTTGTACAGCTAAACACCAAGTTACACTTACGACGATACGAATTACGAATCCTGGCGCCTTTATTTTCGACATCAGCAAAAGCCAGAAAGACTGTACTAGGCTAGATCACGCATCCCCACCTGGGCCACGCGGCGCACACCAAACACTCCACACGTATACCGACCGACTTCCCCATACCTCGCCATGTCGTACACATTCTCCATCCTATCGCCTCTCGACGTCCCCCTCTTCACGCACGACTTCGGTACCTCACGCAGCGGCGGCACCGGTGTCGCGAACTATACCCCCGCCGAGCGCGCCCTGGTCCCGTTCATTCTACACTCGTCACTTGATATCGTTGAAGAAGTACAATGGGGCCCTTCTACATCCAGTGGCTCCGCACCCATGTATCTTAAGCACATCGACAAATACCAGAACTGCTTCGTGTCGTGCTGGATCACCGGCGGCAATACACGCTTCCTCCTACTCACAAGACCGCGGGACGAAAGCCTGGGGCTGACAAGTGGAGGTGCTGGAGGTGCCAGAGGAAGTCTGGCTGGAGGGAGAGCTGCGTTGGGAGGAGGTGCTGGTCTATACAATCCGAGTAGCCCAGCCACGGAAGAAGCTGTTAAGAACTTCATGGTCGACGTATACGAGGCATGGGTCAAGACTATTATGAATCCCTTCTTTGCTGTGGGCAATGGCGAAGTCATCAAGAGCCCGGTATTTAGGCAGAGAGTTGCGACTGCCGCAAAGAAATATCTATGAAGGGAGAGAAAGCATCACGGAATCACCGATTCAGGAATGGAGACCACAGGCGCGAGGACCCATCTTATACCCGAGAGCATGGTGAACGGCACAAAAGCAGTTCAGATTATTGCGACCTGATTGGAGAGTCTCGACCAGACGACTGCTGAAAGGTCTCACTTCCCCTTCGCAGCGACGCAAATCTGAGACAAGGAAGGCAGCAATGGGAGCCTTCGAGCTAGTTGCAAGCTTTTGCATTGAGCAGGTGTATGGCTACTCATGCCCACGAGGCTATTAGACCTAGCCGAAGTCGACCTCGCGCTTTGTATGGGTCATAATAATTGAGAACAGGAGGATCAATACCTTGAGAGCCGATGCGATGGAGTCTCTGTCGCACACGCCATCTTTGGGGAAGCACTGTTCTGGATTAATATATTGCATTGGGCTTGCGCGCAACGAATTCCCTCTATATAGCATCCTAGGTCACAAACAGCTACTAGGTCAAAAAGTGGATACTCGTCGTTTGCGTCTCGGCGTTCCGTTTACCTATTATTCAAGGCACCCTACCTGCAAGCCTAAGCCATGAACATAGAGGTCTTACCTTACTTACGCATCCTCAAAAACTGTGGTCACCATGAGTTGCGCCTTTACCTTGGTCCCGTTTGTAATCGCGCAGATCTCTCACTCACCTTCACCTTGACCAAGCTGGTATATCACCACACCATCTACCCACCTTCTCCCGCTCGCAACGAACTCTCTTACCTCACAGTATTTAATATCTTTGCCTTGACTTCAGCGCGTTGCGACTCTCAGCATGGCATCGAAACCCCCCGAGGTCAGTGCTGCAGACAAACAGTGGCTCACTTTCCGACAAAAGCACGACGCTGAACTCAAGGGCTTCCAACGGTATGCGGCGGAGTCTTTTGCCAAATTGCAGGACAACGTCAACAAGGAGCGAGCCATCATCCTCGCAAAACACAAGAAAGAAGAAGAAGAGTTCTGGAGCAAGGCCAAGGCGGCAGCAGATAAGGAGAAGAAGAAGGTTGGCAACACGGCTGTCGGGCCTAAGACGGGTGTCCAGAGTCAAGCAAACCGTCGGGTAGCTGCTGCACCACCGAGAGCTGCTCCTACCATCAAGAAGACGCCGCCGCTGAGGCCCAAAGCTCCATCCATATCCAATCCAGCAAGCAACACAGCCACACCGGTAGCAGGACTCAGGAATAAGAAGGCCGCTGTCACGATCATTGATCTTTGTTCCGACGAGGATGACGATGAACCAGTTTTGGTAAAGCAGAAGCCTATTCTCCAGATAGCTGGGCAAAAACCTGTCGCAAAAGACCCTTCCAGCTTTTCTGACAAAATCGGAAACGTGGTAAGTCGGCGAATGGTACAAGCGTTCTTGTCCTAACACTGATTGATATAGAATACGCCAAAGCCAGAACAGTTGAATCGTCAACATAGTGTCTTTACTCAGCAACCACCACGCCCTCTTATACAACCACCTGCGCTATGTACAAGTAACAGTAACACTCCCGGTGTGCACGTCTCGAACTCCGTCGCCTCTCAGCATGCGCTGGCAGCTGTTCTCAGTACACAGCGGAACCTGGTCGGGGGCGTGGGTTTTGGCAATTGGGCGAATGTGCCTCGCATGCCAGATGCTCGTCGGGAAACAACGTTCAATCCTGGAGGTAGACCATTATCAGCTTCCTCTCCGTGGGCTACCCCCACAATCTCTGCTTCACAAGGCCTGCAGTCGACGAGCGGTTTCGCTTCTTCGAGGCTCTATCAAGCCCACCAGCCAGACAACCTTCAATCGCAACAAAGTGTAGGCTACCAATCAGGCCAGTCATCGATGTTCCGAGAATCGGCTTTCCATGGCCTTCCTCGAGACGACCACTCCGATTTGCGAAAGGAAGGCCATGCTTACTATTTGAATGGCTCAATCGAGTCTTCACAAGATCTCAGACGTAGCGTTAGGCTCGGTCCTGATTCTGTCCCGGATCATGCGACCAAAAGCATGGAGAGTGACCTTCGTAAATCGGTTTCGAATGGTATGGACACGATGATGCATGAAGCTCCGCGTAGTAAGCTTGCTGTCTTCCATCTTATAGTGACTGAACTAACGTACACATAGCTCCAACAAGACCACAGCAGCACACTCCAAACATGCTTCCATCACCTCAAGATACTGGTCTCGTATCCACTCAAGAGAGCCCTCGCACCCCAACCGCAGAGCCACTTACCCCTACCACTCCTAAGACTCCCAGCTTCAGACGGCCATTCCTCCCAGCCAGTGCCACCAAAGACAGTATTGCGGTTGCTAGGGGTGTTCGGGCTGGGTCGCAGGTATCTACTTTTACGCCTACTAATCGCGCCTCGAGTGCTTCGCAAAGTCAACGCGATGCGTCGGTCGTATCGCATACTTCTTTCTCTTCCCGTTCAGGCAGAGGCAAACGGAAGGTGGTGGATCTCAGCAGCGATGAGCAGAGTGACTATGCCCCGCCGTCTGATGATGAGGAGCCTAGTTCCCCTGTCATGATGGACGATGCTCCTGAGCCTGTAAAGAAGCAGACATCTAGGCCGGCGACCAAGAAGGCTAAACTTCCTCCACCACTACCACCAGCTCTTGCCTCAAAAGGTGTGTATAATAAGGGAAAGAATGGCTTTGGCTTCACGAGCTTGCAGAAATCGAAACCCAAGGTCAACAGCCAGACTGATGCGGCATCACCGACTACCCCACCGCGTGTGCCCACCAGAAAGCCTCAGCCGACGACACCATCTACACCGACACCTGCGTCTCAGAAGTCCAAAATCGTTACGTTAAAGACTCAAGGAGCAACGGTATCGCGCTCACCTCGAAAGGCCAAACTTGACGCGTCTGCAAAGATCACCCAACTTAGCGAAGCCGAATTAGAAACTCGGACCAGTATTGCTATCGATGAAGCGAACCAACGTGAGGAAGCAACAGCCGCTGCTGGAATGTTCGAGCAAGTCAGAGGTGGCATACGGGCCATGTCAATCACTCCTGCACCTAGCACCGCTGGCATTGCTGCAGAGGACGTAGAAATGCTAGCCGACGTTTCAGACTTCGAAATCGCATCCCCAGAACACGGCGCTGGATTGATTTCATGGACAGATTCTCGCTTCCATGGCGACAGGTATCTTGCCAAGTCTCGCGCTGCTCGACCCATAGTACAAGACGACTCGGACGACTACGATGACCCGGACATCAGTAAGTACAGCGTCATCGACGGCGTTATTGTGCATGAGGCGGATCGAGAGAGACTGAGACTGACGCAAGAGCAGGAAAGGCTTATGAAATCAAGAGGGACAGACGGTGGCAGTCGCGCACGTGTAGTGACCGCAGTTGAGATGCCGAAGCATGGTATGGCTGGGCAGAGTGGGAGGCGCGCGAGAAAGACTATGAGGTGAGAAGCATGGAACTGAAGTCATGGGGATACGCCTTGTACCATGTACCTCGAATGAGACTACCATGTCGCCGGAGGGTTCGGCTCTGGAGATGTTCCTTGCAGAGTAGGCAGTATCGAAGTATCTTTATCTTCGTCTACTCCCATGAAGTCGCGATATGCTTCGCACTAGCTACACTTCTATCGTTCTTCGAAACTCTATGCGGTTCTTACTTAGCTAGTGGTGACGAGAAGCTGGTACACAGTCCCGAATGGTATCATACTTTATTCTATCGAACATGCCATACCCATATCTCTTGCGAAAAGGCAAAACGAACAGCCCCTAGCTAGCCAACCCATCCACTGCTTACACATAGTAAAAGCATCCAGATCACCACAGACTGCAAACAGGGAGATGACGATGCGCTGCAGCTTATCAAAGCACCGAATCGGCCAGACACACTAGTTCGGTCCCCGTTCACGCACCTGCAACCCCACTCTCCTACGCGCATGACAGCAACCGCTTCATAGAACCCGATCTCGACGCGTCGAAAAGTCTCATCTACAGTAGTAGTAGACGCCCTAACAGTGTCAATAGTAAAAGGCAAAGCTTTTTGCCCCGCAATGGCTAAAATACTAACTCGTTAGCTCACGCGACCAGCCAGTCAGCCTCATTCAATCAACGGCGCTCCGTGCATTTAAAAGAAGACGAGCTCAGTCAACCATCCTGCACACGAGAGCCAAGACGGGGAAACGAGCATCAACGACGCAGCAAAAAAAACGGTCGGCGGTGCTAATACTTTCAACGGTTTGGCAAGTCGCGCCGAAGATTAACGTTAACGTCGGGTTAGCTGTTTTTAGTGCCGGAAAGTGGGCGTCACCAACTTGTGACTGGCTGGCTTTGGGTGCCCGGAGTTTTTTTGGAAAGTGGAGTAGCTAGCTAGTCTAGTTAGCTAGTAACATAGTTGGTTCGGATTAGTTAGTTCGCGCTTTCTTCTAGGTTGCAGACTTGCAGTGGAGAAGGTCTTGGGAGTTCGGTTCTTCTTGGTATTAGCAATCGGGGCGGCCGTGAGTGGATGGGATGACGAGAGTCTTTGATGGAGGCTGCGTAGTTGCGGAAGTGGCATTGGGGAGGATTGATCGGGGATACTGCGAGACGGGACAGAAGGCGTCGATTAGAAAGTGAATTGTTGCAGGTAGAGTGCGCAGACGGAGAAAAGCATCTGTTTCACACACGAGTATACCAAGAGCCTTGGAACTGCCGTCAGCGCGAAAAGCGACGATATGTCAGCCCATCTCTGGTTTAGTTTTGACAAGCCAACTAGGCATATCCCGCCCAGTGTGACATGCCCTCCAAGCACCATCGCTGCAACTTCGGATAGTTTTTCATACGTTGCTTTGGAAAGACGGAGGGAGGAAGGGAGGGGCCATTTCCGACTACTCCTAGGTTCGTAACGGTTTTACCGTTTTCGACGCCTTTCGGGGGGGTTGGCAGCAGTTGGGTTGGTTGGGGACCTTTCCGCGCGTACCTCGTCTCGCGTGCCACATGCCACATGCATGCATGGGTAATTTCGGTCTCCAACGGCCAGCCGTTCCGGCAATCGTGTCTAAACCGCAATCAGCCTGTTCTGCCCACCACCCCCAACAACCGTCGGGTAGCGTCGCGTCGCACAACATTGCATTGCGTTGCAGTCGTGTGCCTGGCCTTCTTTGATACCCTGCCCTGTTGCGTGCGGTGCGCCCCCCCCTCGCCCCTTACTACCCATACCTTGCCCACCCTGAAAAGCAAATCATCCTTGTGTGCCTGAGCTGGGTAGTCAGGCACCAGGCACGCAACGCGTAGACATGAGTGGTATTCAGCCACGCGAGACCAGGCTCTCCCGGCCTGTCACCTGTCCGCCTTCCGCTTTGCGAACGTATGGGGGAGGGATGTCCCTAGGGGAGAGTAGGTCGACCGAACGACTATCGACGTGATTTATTTGTCTCGGACAATATCACGTCGAGCATGCATGGAAAGGCTTGCGTGCCGTGCCGCTGTAAGTGATCGTGAGTGGCTACTGAGCGGTTCATGTGGGTTCTCTTCTCGTTCGGTGCTTTGAAGGATTGCGGGCGAACTGGTCAGCTGGCTGCATCTGGGATGCATCCTCCGGGTCTCTCTCGATGATACACAAAACGCCTCTTCCAAGGTTTGGAGGAGGGCAATTTACTCTGGACTTTTGCCGGGCTGTAAACACTCGCAAGTAATCACTTAATGTCAGACTGCATGTTTGTTTTTGAGATGTCTATTATATGTCCAGGGTAGCAACAACTAGCCCATCTACCGAATACTCAAAAAACATGCGCAATATAAACATATCCGAAGACGCAATCATAGCCGACAAGACGCCTTCCTCATGCCATAAACAGCGTCCTGAGTCATGCTTTTAGACGCTCCCTTGTCTCTTTTTACCGCAGACGCCAAAGTCCATTCGCACAAGAGATGATCGCTCAACACGCTATAAACAGACAGGAAAGAACAGACCGAAAACCGACCGAGTATGTCGCAAGAGATCATAACTTGCCGACGGGTATCAAGACGGTGGTGGGTGGCCGAGAAGTATCGAAAAGAGAGAGAAGCAGCCATCGGCAGATGAACGACCAGTCTGAAACCCAATACAGCCATGATGAAACATGGGTGTAAGCAACAGCCGGGCCTGTCGCGAAGGATTTGGTGCCGAGTCGAAAAGGGTTGTCAACCCCGGTCGTTCGTAGGGGCTCCCTGCAAGTGCCGAGAAAGTGGGTCAACGGGGCGGCTGCCTGCAACCAGGGCATCCGTTTGGAGCATGTGGCCTGAGACTTCTTAAGGAGAGCCATCGCGCCTCGCCTTCTTACTCTTCTCGATTCTCTCGTTCCACCGCCTCTTTCCAACGCGAGTCTCGAAATGTGGGGCTACTTGGGTCACATCTTGACCTTGGCCCATCATGCTACTTCTCATCTTGTTGCGGTAGGCATCAACTGTTGATAAGGTTAGTAAAACGTTCTTCTTCGTACCGAGCCATTGACTTACGAGACTTTTGCAGAAACAATGTCCTTCCTGCGAAAACACGACTCTGGCTCCAGCTCATGCGGTAACCAAGATCGTTGAGCGTAATCTCCTTCGACCGCTTCGCACGAGTAAGACGCGGCTTCGGCACACGAGTCTCGCCATCCAGCGTTGGAACAGGCACAACAGTAGAGCCGGCCAGAGGGAAGCTCGGGTCGCTCTCAACATCGGGCTCGTCAGCAAAGACCTTGCTGCCACGAGGGCTGGCAGGTGGAGAGGTCATTTGCATGGCGAAATAGCTACGAGGGAATACCGAGTTGGACTTGCGGTAAGAATCAGGCATTTCCTCCATCTTGACCGTGTCGAGAGTAACTCGCACGCGAACCCTAGTTCCTCGTTGCGCATCATCTACAAGGATGAATTTGCGGCGCTTTGAGTCAGGTAAGTCGCCAAACATGGCTAGCTTTCGCTCTTCTTCGTCTTGCTCTTGCTGCTTTGAAACGGGCACACCCGCTGCGTGCGATGGAGGCGGAGGGTGGCTCAGGCTGTCGTGGATCGGCGGCATGCCGCTGGAGCCTGCGACGGAGTCGCTTGATGGGTAATTCGGGTAGAAGCTCTGAGCGGGCCGCCCGTCGGTAGGTGATGATGATTGACCGTTTGGCGCTTGGTGATGGTGAGTGTGTGATTCCCCGTATTCATTGGCTGTACACAAAGAGAGTTAGCTTGCACGTCCAAACATGTCTCTCTACTTCCCGTCCTGCGCTGCTGAACCAAAAACATGTGTAACTATGGGGTGAGTATATATGCAAGCATGCATGGGGCAGTGGTATCGAAGGGGTATTACATCAAGGAGTATGTAATGTACATGGAGAAAGAACGACAGAGGTATCATTTAACAACCAACAACAATTGCGCCTTATCACATCACATCTGGTGAAACATACCGCTAACGTCATCTGGTCCTCCGTGGGGCCCTCCAGGTCCATCATGGTGATGGTGCATCTGAGGGCCGCCCATGCCCATGTTCGGTTGTCGGGGCGGTGCTGCTAATCCGGCAGAGTTGGGAACGCCAGGAGCACCTGGTCCACCTGGTCCAGCCATGTGGTTACCATGGTTAGCCGATTGGGCTTTCCTTGTGGTCATCTTGGCCATTCTGCGCACGCGTCGGCTCCTTAGTCGGGGGTCTTGGTTGCTGTTCCTCCAGCTGTCGACGGCGCGCTGGATGAGACCACGCTTTCCGCGAAGGCAAGGGTTCAACTGCGCCAGAGCCCAGCCGACGGTGTTGCATTCAGTCTCGTAGTGAAGACGGTTGCCCTTGTATTGATCCTTGGCGCAGCAAGCGCGAGGGTATACACAGTTCTCGGTCTTGAAGTCTTGCGGCAGCTCGTCGACATTGATAGACTCCACATCGCAGCGGATGGTGTACTCCATCTTGACCCTGTCGCGAGAGTACTCAAACGCGATCCATTGCACACCATTCTGGTCTTGTCGCACAACAAGAGGAGTGGTGGCAGGAATGGGACCAGGCGCGGCGTTAGGGTTGACGTTGGGTCCTCCGGGAGGGCCAGCGTGCATGTTGGGGGTGCCGACGGGAGGGCCTTGAGGCGGAGCTTGAGGCGGGCCGAGTCCTGACGGTGGCCGTTGAAGTGGCGTCTGCGACATGCGCGACTTGGGGCTTCCCGTCATTCCAGGAGTTTGGGGATGATGCTGCTGATGTTGTTGTTGTTGTTGTTGTTGCTGATGCTGCATCTGCTGGTTTTGCTGGTGGGACATGAGCAGCGATTGCGTCGCCATTGGTTGCTGTGGCGCGCTTGAAGGGTGCTGCTGGTAGGGTGACTGTTGGGGAACTGGCGCCGAAGCGTAGGGCGTGTAGTACATTGATTGAGGCATCTGGCTGGGCGGTTGTCCATAGATTGGCCGGCCGTGCTGGTCGTGCTGTGGAGACTGAACAGATGCTGGTGAGTTTGACTGCGGGGTGTGATATGAGATCGGAGGATAACCGC